ACTTCATACCCAAACTTCTCTCTAGAATTTCAAGGTGGAGTATTTTGGGGAATGTTAATATATGAGAGGAGAAAAAAAAAAAAAAAAAAAACCCATATGGTCAAAAAGAGCTTATATAGTATTGCAACATTTCTTAAAAGTATTTAAAGTGGTCAGGCGCAGTGGCTCATGCCTATAATCCCAACATTTTGGGAGGCCAAGGAGGGCAGATTGCTTGAGCTTAGGAGCTTGAGAACAGCCTGAGCAACATGGTGAAACCTCATCTCTACAAAAAAATTCAAAAATTACCTGGGTGTGGTGGTGTGCACCTGTAGTCCCAGCTACTCAGGAGTCTGAGGTGAGAGGATCACCTGAGTCCAGGAGGCTGAGGCTGCAGTGAGCTGTGATTGTGCCACTGCACTCCAGCATGGGTGACAGAGTGAGACCCTGTCTCAAAAAAAAAAGAAAAAAAGAGCGTTTGACTAAAGGGACCTATCTGCAGAAGCCTGTGGAAAAAGCAACAACAGAACTTTTCCAGCTGGATGGCTTCTTTGGAACCACAAAGTAGTCCCCCTTATCCGTAGTTTTGCTTTCTGAGGTTTCAGTTACCTGTGGTCAACCATGGTCCAAAACTATTGAATGGAAAATTCCAGAAATAAACAATTGTTTTTAGTCGAGCGTGCCCTGGGTAGTGTGATGAAATCTTATGCCATCCCGCTCTGTCCCACCTGAGACATCAACCAGCATCACCTGGGAATTCAATAGAAATACAGATTCTTGGGCCCCACCCCAGACCTGCTAAATCCAAACCCTCTGGGGGAAGCCCAGCAATCTGTGTCTTAACATGTCCTCCAGGTGATTCTGATGCAGGCTGAAGTTTGAGAACCACTGACCCAGAGAATTAGTGTGGGGAATAAAAAGCCTTATAGCCCTTAGTACACAGGTGTGCACTATTTAAAAAGTGTGTGGTGTTTTCCTAAGGCGGCCGGTTGAGTCAGCTTCTCTCCCCTCCTCTGTAGTGTACACCAGAGAGGGACAGGTTGAGTGATTGCCACAGAGCATTCCTGTGGAGCCCATGCCCCGTGCACTCAGAAGAGTAAACGTGATTTCGAAGGCTCCTCATAGAAGACTAGGGGCTCTGTAATAGTTAGGGTTTGGAATCCTTAGAAATTGAACTCATAATTAAATATTGCATCCCATCTATGTTTAAGTAATGCCACTTTAAAAACACTAAACCTAAGCTGGGTGTGGTGGCTTATGCCTATAATCCCAGTACCCTGGGAGGCTGAAGTGGGAGGATCGATTGAGGTCAGGAGTTGGAGACCAGCCTGGGCAACATAATAAAACCCCATCTCTTAAAAAAATTATTTTTAAAAATTAGCTAGGTGTGATGATGATGTGTGCCTGTAGTCCTAGCTACTTGGGAGGCTGAGGTGGGAGGACTGCTTGAGCCCAGCAGGTTGAGGCTGAAGTGAGCTATGATCAAGCCACTGCACTCCAGCCTGGGTGACAGAGGGAGACCCTGTTTCTAAAACAAAACAAAATAAAACAAAACATACTAGACCTGTGCAGCCACTAACATTTGCTTCCATATACTGGCAAATGTCATTATGACATGAGTAGAAAGGGTCAGGAGAGGGCGTGTTTGAATTTTAAACACCATTAGCACGTTGCCTGTGTCTCTTTGAGAACCTGGCACAGGGAACTCTTGGATCGCAGCGGATGTTGTGCAAGAGCTCTTTGAACATTTCCTTCAGAAGTGGAAATGTCTCACGTAAAAAAGAGGAGGAACGTCCAGACAGATAGTGCAAACCTGATGTTCTGCACTTCCATCTGATCTAAATGGTGAATCCATGTTAGTCTAGATGACACAATACACATTTCAAACAGAGAATGCCATTAGAAAGTTGATTGATTTTGACATCATCACACGGACTAGTTTTTCTAGTGTATTGTGTTATACACATCTGGCACTAAGCAGTTGCTTGGTAAATATTTGCCATGGGAATGAATGAAATACAAACCCTCTTCCAAGGTTGGTAGCTCACCTAACAAAAGTGGTTCCCCCTGCAGAAGGGAGAGGGGGCTCAAAGAGAAGTGGCTGGCATGCCAGCACAGTTGGGGTGGAGAGAGTGGCTGGCCCATAGCCTCCATGATTACCACCTGGGTCGGGTGGGTAGGGAGCCCTGGACTGGAAACCAGAGCTCACTGATTCTCCTGCTCCAGTGATTTGCTGACTTGGCCTCCCTTTTCATAGCCAGATGTCAGTGTAAGAACAGACCGCTCTCTGCTGGGCTAGAGAAAAACGTTAGATCTTAGAACAACTTTTTAAACATTTTCCACCATGACCCACAGTTAGAATACATTTTATTTTGTAAACCGGGAAAGACACCAACCAAAACATAATTGAAACAAAAGTTTCACAGCACAATAGTTACCGTACTACATGTGATGCACAATGGACTGTATTCTTGTCTGTGCTGTTCCATTAAAGAAAAATGTGGCACACTTACTGATTTCACAGCCCACTAGTGGGCTGAGACCACACAAGAATCCTGCGGGAAGGGATGGCCTTCAGGCCCTCCATCTCAGGGAACATCTGGGAAGGGAAGGGTGATCCTCCTTATGCCCACACCTGGAAACATGCTTAAGACCCAGGAAAGTGTCATGTAAATCCTTGTTTTCTAGAATCTGAACAAGAAAGCTCAAAAGAGAGGTCTTTGCTTCTACATTTAGAATATTATACATAAGCCAGGTGTGGTGGCTCTTGCCTGTAATCCCAGTACTTTGGGAGGCTGAGGCAGGAGGATTGTTTGAGGCCAGGAGTTTGAGACCAGCCTGGGCAACACAGTAAGACCCCAACTTTACAAAAAATTTAAAAAGTAGCCAGGCACGGTGGTGCATCCCTGTAGTCCTGCCTACCCGGGAGGCTGAGGTGGGAGGATGGTTCGAACCCAGGAATTTCAGGTTACAGTGAGTTAGGATTGTGCCACTGCACTCCAGCCTGGGCAAGAGGATGAGATCCTGTCTCTAAAAAAATAAAATAAAGTATTATATATGTCCCAATAAGGTTTTTTGCTGTGACCTTCCCTAGGGAGGTAGCCACTCCTGACTGCTCCAGAGAGGAGCTCCCATGCGCAGAAGGACTGTGGCAGCTGCTGTACTCAGTGCTACCAAGCAGACAGTTACGGAGGCTCAAGGCTGGCACCACCACTGTGGGAACCCCTACATCAGTGCTCCCCAAAGTATTTCTCACTCCATGAGATTTTACTAAGTGTTCTTGGGGAGGGAAGATGGGGAGTTGGTTCTGTGATAAAATAAGGAGATGTTGGTTGAGACAACTTCTCAGAGCCTCTGACATGCTATGTTGTGTTGTGTGTGTTAAATGTTTAGGGTGTGGTGGGGAAACACAATGTGGTATTTTCCTACCATATTTAAACCCAGAACCATTTTTTCCAATAATCCCTGAAAATCTGCAGAACACAGTTTAGGGAATGCTTCTTGCAGTGACTGCAGTCTGCTTCTTCCACTAGCTAGGAGAAAAAGCAAACTAGAGACTTCATTCCTGCGCCAATTGTGGACCGGGCTGGGGACTGAACTAGGGCTTTGGCTAAGAAAATGAGAAAGCAACAGAACTTTGAGTGCATGTCAGGCAGACCATTGTTATTTATGTATTCATCTTTTGTAGTTTTAACTATTCAAAAGAGACTATGGTGGCCTGTGGCGGAAAGTAATTTAGACACTCACCGAAGCCATCCAAACTGTGGGCTGTGAAGCAGAGACATTAAGTCAGTGAATCAGCACAGCTGCCTCTCCAGCCTCCAAGTCTCAGTGTGACTTGATGTCTATCTGTCATTGTAACTCTGAAGTTATAGCATTTGTCACTTTTCTGGTATTTGTAGATTTAAAGATTCATGAAGGTCTCAGGACAAATTCCTCATAAAAATCAAGAACCTATTGTAATTTAGGTTTGAATTTATCAATCTGAAAGCCCCAAAAAAGGTCCCATGTACCACCTGAAAGCTGTGCCCTGCCCACATCTTGGGGGTGCCATTCATACAGAAGGTGGTGTCAGTGAAGCCCTTTGGAGCTGAGGGACAACAGTAACCCTCTAAAAATATTTTTGTTTTAAACTGTAAAAAACAAAACCAAGTTACAGAGTTGTTGATCAGAATGTCCTGTGAGTTCTCTTTCACTCTTGACTAAATCCATTGGCTGGCGTTTTTCAGTAAGGACAGCATCTTGGCTTGGGAGTAGGTGAGCAACTTAAACACTGGATTCAGACTCCAGCTCACCAGCTCCTGTTTGGGCAATCCAAGACTCACTTCCAAAACAGGAATGTTGATGACAGCACTCACCCCACCAAGCTGAGGTGAGATAAAGCATATTAAATAGCTCTTTACAAATGTCATTTGTAGTCACTGGAGAAAGCCATGTCCTGCTGAGCTCTCTACTCTCAAATGTTGATGCCCAAAGTTTGCCACCCCATGGCCAGTGGCACTGGGAAGGTCCCGTGGGCAGTGTCAAGGAGAAGTGGGTTGCAATACAGTTGCTTAATACTTCTGAAAGAGCGTTTTATTGTGCCTAAACTTTATGATTTGCTGTGATCTGGAGAGAGGTGGGACCCCGAACACTGGAGTCTACCTAGAATTCCTTTTACTTGTAAAAGTTTTTGCAGCCATACATAGGTATTAAATCATTTCTTGGATCAAAACTGTCATTATCCTGGTTCCTTGTAGATGTACTGTTATATTTACATCCAAAACATAAAATACACTCATGATCTCAGAGGTGGCAATTTTGGGGGCAGCATCTCTGTATATCACTTAACTGTAAAATGAACAAACATCCTTCTGAAGAGTAGGAGAATGAGGACTTCATGAAACCATCACGCAGAGCACACTTTGAGATGTGGGATTTCGTGATGGTAAAATGGACATCCCTTAGGAGGTACTTGGGCAGGAAACTAGAAAGGTTGGCACAGTTACATTTCATACCTTGGTTAAATAAATCATGCGGTCTATTTCTTAACCAACTGGCACAACTGCCACCCTCTTTCCATTCTTCTTAACAGGATCTGTTCCTTACTTTCAGTCTTTATTTCTCTACACACCTGTTTTCCCCGAAGTCTTAGAACTGCGAGAGGATCCTGGCTTGGCCATGCTGGTTACCCCGTCGTCTTCATGTTAGCGCTTGTCTCGGTGTAGCCTGCTGTGTCTCCTCCAGTGTCCCCTGCAACTTCCCCCGCAGTGTCCCTGCTTCTGTGTAAGCCTGTCGGCCTGGACTTCCTTGCAAGCAGCAGTTTACAGGCTGCCGCTCTGTACTTCTTTGAAATGAGGTTGTAGAGGATTGGGTTGATAGATGCGCTCAGATAGAAAAGTTGCAGAGCGACGATGTTAAAGTACTGAGAGAAGTACATCATCCGCAAATCTTCCGTGTTTATGTAAATGATTCTGCCAACGTGGAATGGCAACCAGCAAACTACGAATGCCAGAACCACCACCACTGCAATGTAAGACACAGCACCGGGATTAACAAAAGCATTGGGAAGCAAATAACCCCCCCACCCTCACAAGGAACCATCTGCAATAAGTAACAGCAAAATAAATTAGAGAAAACTTCTACCTGGCCAGATCCTCACCCCCCAAAAAAATGACCAGGCTGCAGGACATTTGCTTTAAAACTGCATAGTAGGTTCCTATATGTGTTATCAAGGCTGGACATAAACCAGAAGGAGCAATTTCTCTGAACAAGCCGCCTTGGCAGGCTTCCTTCCACAAACCCACTTCGGAGACAAGTTTTCTGTTCTCTGTTGAAAAGAATTCTACAACAGGTCTGCACAATCTTTACTTTTTGATATGAGCAAGGTTTACTTTAGCCTTCAGCATCACTTAACATTAAATAAAAATTTTTAGCTTAATGAAATCTCCCTCATCTTCTCAAGGGCACTGTGAGGACTCCTCATCTGTGGCATCTAACAGGTGGTTGGATTAAGAATTTCCAACTCTCCTTCCTGGTCTCAGAGGCTCTGGAAAAGCACTGCTGGTTACTGAATCGGATCCGGGGATTCCACCCTCAAAGCCCCCTGGTGTCCCCCAGAGCTCCTGGGGGACAGGACATGGTTTTCTGGGGGTACAGGAAGTACGGGCGGGTGGAGGCTGGAATCGAAATAGGAAAGGGGGCTGGAAGCGGCGCCCAGAGCTGGGCGAGCAGGGGAAGGGGACCCAGCGTTTGGCGGCCCCCGGCGGGGTGGACCGCAGGCAGGCGTCTTTGGAACCGCGGTGGCTCCACTTACGCAGGACGCGGACGGTCTGCCGGTGGCCTCTCTCCCGCCCCGAGGCGGCCCGGCCTCGCAGCGGCCGCCGGCTGCTCCACAGCTCGCGCCCGATGAGCCCATAGAGGATGCTGAGGCACAGAAAGGGCAGGAAGAAGTAGGCGGTGGTGACCCACAGCATGACACGCAGCGCACCCAGCTGCGCGGGGCTTGGCCGGCATTCGCGGCTGAACAGCGCCGCGGCCTCCGCGGTCTCGGGCCCCGACGGCGGGGACGGCGGTGGCGCCCGCGAGAGCCAGAGGGGCGGCGACGAGGCGGGAGGCGAGGGAGCGAGCCGCGCGGTGCCATTGAGGCCCGGGACCACGGAGATGTCGGGGTCCTGCTCGACGCCCACCAGGAACAAGAAGGGCCCAGCAGAGAGCAGCGCCACCGCCCAGAGCACAGCGATGAGCGCGCGGACGCGGCGCCGGGTGACCAGGACGCGGGCGCGGAGCGGGCGACAGATGGCCAGGTAGCGCTCGACGCTGAGCGCCGTCATGTGCAGCAGCGTGGCGTAGGTGCAGCCCTCGCCCACGTAGAGCGATAGGCGGCAGAGCAGCGGCCCGAACACCCAGGGCCGCGAGCGCCAGAGGCGGTACAGGTCGAAGGGCAGCCCGAGCAGGATGAGTAGGTCGGACACTGCCATGCTGCCCAGGTACAAGTTGGTGGTGGTCCGCATGTCCCGGTAGCGCCCGATGAGCAGCACGGTCACCACGTTGCCGCTCACCCCGACGGCGAACAGGCCCAGGCACACTGCGGTCACCGGCACCAGGGCCCCCAGGGGAAAGGGCGAGCAGCGGCGCTCGTCGCAAGGCGGCAGCGCGGCCCATGGCTGCTCCCGCGCGTCCTCGGGGCCGTCGCTGCTGTTCCAGCGGCTGCCCATGGGTGCTCCCAGCGGCCGTCGCGTCCCGGGTCGGGCTGGGAGCCTGGCGCGTGGTCCCGCTCGGTGAGCGCCTCCTTTCCCAGCCCGCACGCTGCAGGCGCGGACGGTCAGACGGCGGAGCGCTGTGCTGCGCTGTGCTGCGGCGCTCGGGAAGCGGCTCTGCAGGGTGGGCACCGAGGCGCTCCCGAGCTGGCTGCGCGCAGTCTCCGCCCACGGCCGCGGCCCGCCCCGGCCCGGCCCTGCTCCCGCGCCCTCTCCCTGGCCCCTGCAGTTCTAGGGCGCTTCGCTCTCCACCAGCTGGAATACCCGGCGCCCTGAGCGCATGAGCCCTACCCCGTCCTGTGAGCGATGTCTTCACCCTAGAGAGCTTCGGTTACTGGACCCAGCATTGTACGGGCGCTTTTGTCGGTCCGGTACACAGGAGACCTTCGAAGGGATCTTGGTCTGGTGGCTGGTAGCTGTCGCTTGATGGTGGAGGCGGGCTCACGGTAATCCTCAGGAAGCCATAATGCTAAATAATAGGAGGGGTGTCTAGACCAGAGTCTGGAGCCTCTCCTGTCTAATCCTGGCTCTATAACCGAGTAACTGCGTTATCTTGGGCCTGTTCTCTTCTGTAAATTCGCGAGTGGTGGAGGGAGCTGACCATATAATTGACCAAATAATTTCTTTTTTATTCTTTTTTCTTTCTTTCTTTGTTTCTTTCTTTCTTTCTTTCTTCTTGAGACAGGGTCTCACTGTCGTCCAGGCTGGAGTGTAAGTGGCGCGATCACAGCTTACTGCAGCCTCGACCTCCCAGGCTCAAGCAGTCCTCCCACCTCAGCCTCCTGAGTAGCTGGGAGCACAGGAGCGCCCATGCCCCGGCTAAATTTTGTGTGTGTGTTTATTTTTGTATAGTCGGGGTTTCGCCATGTTGGCCAGCCTGGTCTCGAACTCCTCACCCCAGGTGATCCACCCGCCTCGACCTCCCAAAGTGCTGGGATTACAGGCGTGAGCCACCGTGCCCGGCCATGACCAGATAATTTCAAGGATCCGTGAGCATGTTTATTTATTATAAAGAACAAGACAAATATTTACGTGGACACTAGAGTACTTTCACATGTGAGATATGTCGTTCTTATGTACAATATGTTTCATAAACTTAAAAAACTAGACTATTTGTCAACACCGGAAAGAACGAAAATTGGGGAAAGGGGCTAAAACGGATGTAAGCGTCTGTTCAGTGTGGTCTTAATAACAATAGCTAACACTGAGAATTTAGATGGATCTGGCCCTGTGCTCTCCATTTAATCCTCATGGCCCTCCTTTCGCCCATGAACAAAGCGGGTCTCGCTTGAAATCAAATAGGCAGTAAGAGGCGGGACTGGGATGTGGGCTCTGGTCGGCCTAATCCCAGAGCTTGCAAGACCGATGTCCCACTCACTGCCCAGCTCCACCCCCTCAGTGGCTTAAATCCTCAACCTCTTTTCTGGACCTGACACCTGGCTTTGCCTAGGGACAAGCTTCTCCTGCAGTTCTCTCTCACATGCAGACTGTGAGTTTGGAGGAGGGACACCTGTCGCCTCCCTCATCGCTGCTGTTTCCAGCGGTCCTAAAACCTAGCTTTGAGTGTGACTTCATCAGACCCCGCCCTCCCCAGCGCTTTACGCCGTGGTCACCCGCAGTCCCTGAGGACCAGGTGCCTGTGTTCTTTCAAGCACTGCATCTGCGGCCGTTCACACCCATGGCGAGTCTTGGAGTGCCTTGGCCTCTAGTTCTTTGACCTCCTTTCCACCTATGACCTTGCTCTCCACCCGATCTCAGCCGCGCCTGTCGACAGACCTTACACCTCACGGCTGCCAGGGCCTGCCAGCCTTCCTCCACCCCTCTTTCCGACCTCCACCCACTCTCTTTTTAGCTCTCTTCCCCTAGCACCTCAGTCCGGTAATCCTTCAACCCACTGCGACCTCCATCGGCGGCTCCTCCTTCCTTTTCCGGGTCCCTTGCCTGCCCCATGGCTTCACTTTTCTTCCTTTACCCAACGTAAATTCCACGGGCAGTCGCCATCACGCCCACATAGACGCCCTTGACTCCCTTGCTGTTTTCTCCATTGTCAGCCTCGTCCATCCGCCAAGAGCACCACAGCCCTGGTGAGGCCGAATTCCCTGCCTACTCCTTGCGGGCTCCCACATGGCGTTGTTTCGCTTGAAAGCACAACCTCTAGCGGGGTGCTTCGTTCCCCCGGCCCTCCCAACTCTCACCTGACCTCATTCACTCTCCCACTGCCAGGCTACTGGTTTATACCCCCCTCCTCTCTCCTTAGACCCAACACCCCCCACCACCTCCTTTGGGTGGTTTCCTTGCACCCTGTTTCTCTGAAGATGACTACCACACCCCCACCTCCGCTCATGTTTCCCTGGGACAGTTGGTGGTACTTGCAGTTGAAGTCAGCTCTGCCCCTTAAGCGCTCCTTTCTCCTCCAGATATCACTGCCTCAATTCTCTTTCTCTCTCTCTCGTCATCAGTTTTTCTCTTCCGGATCATTTTCATGCAAAACTCCTCAAAGTTGTTTCTGTACTCACGGTTTCCACTTTTTCTTCCTCCCTGTCTCCTCCCCCTAGGCAGAGAAAATGTAATTTCTTCATTTATAGTTGATTTGATTTTCCCCTGTGCTCTCAACAAGAGAAATGAATGCTCTAGCCAGGTAAGGCGTGGTCCAGGCAGACCAGTGAAGCAGCCCCTCTGGGCAGTGTTCAGTTCTCTCAGACATCACGCCTTTCCCCAAGGTGGCCCAGATGTATGGGGAGAGGGGTCAGTGGCTTAAAGCTAGAGGGAGAGGTCCTTATGAAGCTTCATGCTGGCTCCTGGGGTGTGAGGGGCTGGCATTTGCTAGACTTCAGTTCCATGTCCCCTTCCTGCATGGTCACCAGTGGCTCTGCTAGCCTTGGAGGCAGAGGCCTGTGGTTGGTGAAGAGGTGGCTTCTTTCTTTCACTCAGATGATGCTTCCAGGAGCACTCTCCATGGCTGTCATGGGCCGCAAATTCCTGAGTCTCTTTGGTTTTTTCCATTTGCTCCTTGGCCTGATGGTCTACCCCAGCCTCTGCTGAAGGCTCCCTTCTTCCCTTCCCCACCCACAATGGTGGCGCTGAGGCAGGCTCACTGTGTCTGCAGTCAGCATCCTGGCTGTTGTGAATTACTCACCTCCATTCAGGCACTCCCTCTCTCTATTGTATTTTCTCCATATTGCTTATTATCAACTGACATACTATTTAATTTACTTAGTTTTTTGTTTATTATCTATCTCTATCTCCCAACATTATGTGCACCAGAAGGCAGGGCTTTAATCTACTGTGTTCACTGCTGTTTCCTTAGTGCCTGGTACAAAGTGAGAATTCAATAAATATTTGTTAACTTGGAGAATGAATGAGCTTCTGCAGAACCAGGTACCATTGTTTTCTTTACAATTCCTAGCAGTTAAAACAGTGCTCTGATTGCCGTGGGTGCTCAGTAAGTATTCACTGGTACTTCAGCTTAAGACAGAATACTGATATGGAGAGGTGGAGAACCAGTGGGCTTTTTGGATAACATTGCTGTGCTGAGGTTCAAACATAACGTGGCCCTTAGGACAGATCTGAGCTCTTATGATGAGTTGGCATTCAATGTTTTAGGAAGGAATGGGACCAGATCTGTTTTCTACTTTGTGTTTCTGTAGACATTCACCAGCTTCCTGACTTCATAGTTCATCTAGTGAGAAGTTCTCAGTAGACCAGGAGCATGGGCATCTCTCTTTACTCTTGGAGTACCTCTCCGCCTGTAACTCATGTGGGGCAAGAGTGGGTCTAGGTTTGGCCTGGCTGTGGCCTGCATCCCCAGAGGCAAGAAGTTGGTGTCATCAACAGGCTTTTGGCCCCGGGCTGGAGGCCTCACTGGTTGGCTTTTGATGAATGTAGAGGGATGACCTGGATGAATATAAAGCTAATGCTCGCTGTTTGCAAGGCACTGTTCCAAGTCCTTTCATATCTGAATGCATTTCATCCTCCACAGCAATCTAAGGCAGCAGGTTCTTTTAGTATCTCTATGTTAGAGATGAGAAGAGCAAAGCACAAAGAAGTGACCCCAGGTCACCGGGACAGCCAGTAAGGGTGGTGCTGTCCACTTCCAGAGTCCATGGGCATAACCACTGTGCTGGGTAGCCTCTTGCTATATAGACCATGGCACCACCAGCTGCAGAGAATGCTAGGTTATGATCTGGAGTCTGCTAGGAAAGTGTCTTCCAGTTTGTATCTCAGAAACCAGATTTTATGGGCAAATTGAAGATCTGGAAAGTTGTGAGGAGCATTAAAATAGATCCATAACTTGTATAATAGCTTACTTATGGAAGCTTGTAAACACTCCACAGGCTTTACACTCTTTTCCCCACATAAGAGCAGGGCATGAAGTTTGTAGAGATGGGGTCTCCCTAGATTGTCCAGGATGCTCTTGAACTCCTGGTCTCAAGCGATCCACCCTCCTCTGCCTCCTAAAGTGCTGGGAATACAGGTGTGAGCCACCAAGCCTGGCCATTTCATAATGTTTTGAACCAACCTTTTACAATTGGGAAATTTCATGTAAAGTTCTGGATTGTTAGCATGATATCTTAGGCCTAGGCAGACCAAATTCTTTAATAACTCCCAAGGACATCCATAAAATATTGCTGTAAACCAGACACATGCCACAAGCTGAGAGGAGTGGTAACATCCAGGGAGGTGTGGGAGTTTGAGAAGGAAGCATTGTCTTGCAAAACTGGAAGCTGTGGCAGCTCTGAGCTCATGTTCCCCAAAGGCTGCCACCTGCAGCCTGTAGGCTGGTGCCACTCTGTAGGCACCCCACAGCTGTCACCACACACAAGGTATTTGTGGCTTCACACTCGGCCCCTTCCTCATTCACATGACCCACTGGGTCCTCTAGACCCCAGGCACCAGGAAATGGTATCTTTAGTAAAACGCAGAGATAGCAAAGCTGGCCCTGGAAGGGAGCCCCTGGC